TTTGAGTAATACATTTAAAACGTAGAACTATTTAAGAACTTGAGTTAATTAATGTTTTTGTTACTATTTACGTATACAGGTTTTGCTGGGTAGAGTTACTCATGCGTTTATTGTTCTATTTTTGTGCAATGTACTGAGTTATATACGCACGTAGGCTATTTTGTTTTGCCGCTTATAAAGTCGGTGTTGTGGGTTTAATAGTTAAAACCACTTTTGTTAAGATGTTGTGTCTTCTTAACGTTTTTCTTATTATAATAGTGTTCGGTTAAAATTACCGGGACTGATTGTATGGTGTGCCATAAGTGCAATTGTAGTCAATGGTGACTTGAGTTTTCCTTTTGTATACGTGGCTTGTGACTTAAAAAATGTTATTTAATTCAAAGGTTCCTGATGTTATCCAATGTTAATCTATCCATGTGTGTGTTGGCAATGAACTTACCAGACCGGGATACCCACTGGGAGCCAGTTGGCGGGAGTCCGTCGTGAAACGGGTCGTGTCTGGATAGACGTGGTTTAGAGTCAACGATATTGAGGATTAATAGAGACTTTAATTTCTGTGTATTGTAAATAATAGCTGTAAAAATATGTTGTAAATATTGTTTTTATTGATTTTATTTATAGATAAAAAAAAATTGTAAATAGAAAAAAAAATCTTGTTATATCTGACTGAACAGAGCACGACGGCTGTCGTGACAAACATACTAGATGTTGTATTAATTTACAAAACTTTTATTTTAATAATATAAGTTTTCATTGACATTCAAACTTTTTTAAGGGGGAGGTGTTGTTGAGAAGAAGATTGTTTTATTTGTATATATTAGTAACATTAAGTTTCTTGAACCTTCCAGAGTGGCCCAACATGTTTGGTCATGATTTAACAGATTCTTAAATTTTGTGTATGTCCAGATTGTTCCACATAATTTCAGCTTTTAACCCATTGTTCTTGAGAAGAAGATTTATAATACTGTATAAATCCCTGTCAATTCAATATGTATACAATAATTGTGAATACTTTGTGGTATAAGCACTATTGAGATATAACTGGGGGTATATTTTCATTGGGACAATTGTAGAATCTACACTACCCCATGTATGTATTATTAGATTCTTGCATAAGTTTACTTTATGTTTCATTCTTATTATATATTACTTAAAGAAATTATTTTAATTTAAATTGTGTTTTGTCTTTTCTTCATTTCGGGTAATTCTGACCCATACAGAATTGGGGGGATATGTCTTCATTTTAACAATTTAAATTCCCCTTTACCCAAGGATGCGTTGTACCAAGTTTGTCAAATTTGGCCCATTAATTTTTGGAAAAGTAAAATATAAGTTTACAGAAATCAACAGACGTTTTCGGTCACAATTAATTTCTTAGTTCACCAAGTGTTCAGGTTTTTGAATCTAATGAAAATCAAACTGAATTAAATACCCTATCCCTTGACCGGCTGCCACCAAAATGTAACGTGTAAACCTACTGGGTTCTACAAGGGACAAGGGTTCTTTATTAATATATATATGTTTTTCCTCTTACTCTATCTGAGTTATTATTGATTGGAACTATGTACAATTAATTGAAGTGGTAGGCCGTGGTTCATAAGCAAGGTAACCTGCACTGTGTTCCTGGAACAGCCAGAGTTCCTATTGTAATGTGAAGCACCAGGTTCTTTCACCCTTATGCAGAATTACTTCGCCCTGGTACCTCACCACAATTCCTCTAGACTGTTCTCTTTCCACTACTGCTTCTAACCTTTGCTCTTTTATTTCTCAAATAATGCCTTTATTACCTTGCGCTTTATTCTTCAGTTTTCTTCTTCTGATCACTACAACTGATTCCGTCAGAATAATGCCTTGCAGCTGCGAGCGTCTCATTTATATACCTTTGGAGCATTCTATTTACTCAGAGGGGTGATCAGCCTATTGGAAGAGTCCACTTTCCAATATCCCCTCTGATTCGACTATAGTAGGCATGGCCAAATACGCTACCCATTACAGTATACTAAAACTAATCATACCTAAATCTTTTTTATCAAACTTTCCATATGTGGCCAGTATAGGAATTGTGTAGGTGAAAGATCGTCTGACGTAAACATACATTGTGTAAGCAATGTAGACACTGCTGAATGTAACAAACTGCTTGACACTCAGTCTTCCCATAGCAATATTAATTACTGATCTGAAACGAATGCAAGACAATTGTAAATAAAGTAATAAAACGCCAAAATGTTAATTGCTTAATTACTTTAATGGTGTTTTATCTTTATAAAATATGCATTAATGCTAAAACAATTTAACAACTGCGTTTACAAATACAATGTATAGACATCAAATGATCCAATGCACGATTCATAACGCCCGAATTTTCTCTTTACCAAATAACAACACTCCTCTATAGACGTAGCGCATTTCTGAATATCCTTGTTGATGATTTTTATCAGATCATGTCATAAACTTGCATAGGTTTTTTTTTACACTTAAAGATGCAATTTTTACAAATATCTGATATTAAAAACAAAATGAAAACGAATTAAAAATTGTTTACGTGCTTGCAAACGGTATCCCGATCCCGATTATATTTCTATTTCATAGCAAAAAAAAAAAATTTTCATAATAAAAATGAACTTAGATATAAAATTATTTGTATATATATTTATATGATGTATATACAAATAAATTTAAATGCAGATTCACATATCAAAAACAATTAACATTCACATTCACATGGTGTACAAAATGCAATTTATTTTTAATTAGCATGATTAGCGGAAATTTTTTAGTTCAATGAAAAGAATAGGGACATCTTCGTGTTTGAATTTCAAGTTCAAAGATAAGGATATAGGAACATCTTCGTTAGCCAAAATTTTCTGATTTACTACTCTCCTTATAGCTGTAGAACTGTATATGTATATAGCTTTGTGGTTTATATTTTAGTCATGATCATGCAACTTAAATCCATAGTGCTCATAAAACACCCACCCCCTTTATTCTGTATTTGTGTTTTTTTTTTATTTCCTGCAGATGCATGAAATTCGTTTAAAATAATATTAAGACCACAAGATGGCATACTTTAATTTGTTGTACTGGGTCGAATAAAATGTATGAAATCTGCAGTGCTCCTTGACAATAGATTAAAGGGTTGACATTCTTTTACATTTATTTATTTATTTTCGAATTTATAAATAAATTAAATCAGTCTTAAATATGAAAAATACACAAATCATGAAAAAAACCAAAGATCCTATACCTAACTTACTGACAGTTGTGCATTTACTCTCCTTAGAACTGTCGTCAGAAACTAGATAGTATATATAGGGACAACAACTGCAATATTTTAATTAAAACGTTAAAGGTACATGATATTTTTAGGAAATATTCAATGTCTTTTAAATGATTATTAAATATATGTTAGTCAAAATATGACTCCGTTAAAGGTTAAATTTGTTAACAAACTATAGAACTGCAAAATAACTTAACAAATGCCAACTTTAAACAAGGATGTTGAAATCCCTAGAATATCAATTTATTTCTCAGTAACATGCCTCGGTTTAAAAATTGATCACACTCAGAGTATGCTCTTCATATCAATCAATTAAACTGGGAGACATAAAAAAAAAGAACATATGCAGGTAATAGTGAAAATATTAATACAACCAATTGGGATAGCTGACACTGGAAAAGCTGAGTCTGGTTTGTCACACAATTTACCGGTAGTTGCTGTCTACAGTCCATCAAGTCAGGACAAAAGAACACTACATAGAACCAAGCCACATTTTTAAATTAATCATGTTTTAGATGTACCAAATTCAATAGAAAATTACAAAACAATTAAAGATCATTTAATTCTTATTTGAAAACTTACATTTCATAAACATGAACCGACTTGTTGACAAGTATATATAATGTTACATTTTCTTATGTCTATTTATTAATTACTTTCGCCAAATATAGCCTATTCATCTGAAGTTTAACACTGTGAATTTTCCTTTGCCAATAAAAAGCCCATCTTTTTATATTTCAGCTTTGTTCTGGCTTTCTCGTTGCCAAAATACCTTTCATAAGCAAATTTTCCTTTTAAGCCAACCTTAGTGAAGCATGCTCCCCAAATCTATACGTGTACTTGATTTTGGGTATCCTTACCCACCATTCTTATGTCCAGTACAAGACTTAAAAGCAAAAAGTCTTTCTATATTGCATCCAATAAAGGATGATTTAAACTGCCTCTGATCTTGATTTTATATCCATAGATTCAATATCCTCTATCCTAAGGTCATCTAGTGTCTTTGAACTCAGTAATTAAGACTGAAAAGCCCAACTGTATCCATAAAATTGGGATGGACAAACAGATTAAAATACTAATATACATGCATATAGCAGATGGCTATGGTGTTCCGTTAGGGCCACTCGCACCTTCACCTTTAGGCAAAGTTGCCAAAGCAAAATAGCGAAATTGCGAAGGCAAAGGAGCATTGCTCCTTCACCTTCACACTTTTGCCTTCATCATTCGATCTTCGCACTTTTGCTCCTTCGCCTTTGCAACTTTGCCCTAAAGGCGAGAGTGCGAAGATGTGAGTGGCCCCAACAGAACACCATAGATGACAGATACTAAATCTTCATAAAACTTGACTGGAAGTTGTACTCGGAACTCCAAATGCTCAGCTGAATATGGAAATTAAATTTGCCTTAGTGAAATACAAAAGGCCTAATTATCCACATAACTTAGTGTTTATATCAAAAGGACACAAGATTTTACCTCTAGGGAAAGTCACCTAAAACAAAGGTGTGGTGCACAGAAGTAGGCATGTTATAAACAAACGAAAACCTGCTTTGAGGGGTGGGGGGGTGGGGATTACACCACCTCAAAAGTTGCAAAATTCTCATTTTCTTCAAATTGTAGACTTTTGTTATCGATAAAGGTAAGAAAGTAGCCTCAACATTAGCAGGCACACATGATAAAGAGTCAATTTCTCTCTCCAAAAAGTAAGGAAAAAAAAACCCCTACCTGAATACATTCTAATTTATTATAATATAGAAATGTTATATAAAAAAATATTGGAATGTAAATTCTAATATACAAGTTACAAAAATATACATGTGCAATACTAACAATTAAAAACAATGCAGAACCTTGCATAAATTGAATGCTTTTTCAATGAGGGAAAACAATGCACACACAACCTTAATAATTTGAAATGTAAGGGCAAAATACAACTATGTACACCATTTCTCTCATCATACAGTTTATAATACAAAATATCACTAAAACTATGGAATGTAAGCCTTCCAGGTGAGCAATTCATTAAAGGAATGTAGCAAGTTTGTATTAAACATATCAACTTCATCAAAAAAATTAATCAAAACTGACAAGGAATGAAGAAAAAATATAATAACAAAATGGAATTTTCCAAAATTCATGTCTTTTCTTTCTAACAAATTAAAAAAAAGTAACAAATCAAACAAACAATAAAGTATCATTTTCTCCATCCACACCTTTTTAATATTTATCGAATATTTCTTTTCATTTTACAATTTACTTTTGATAAAAAATTTGCATACAGAGAGCACTTTGCTAAGGGATAGGAAATGCAATGTTGTTCAACATGTTCAAATGTTTGATTCAAAAAATTTCAGAGGATTGAAAAATTCAACTACAAGAGTTACATCAGACTTGCTCAGATAAATAAACTAAAAATATAATCTGTAGACAAAATCTATATGCATAGATAGATAAAATGTAAGTGCATAGATTAAAATCATTAGATTGTTATTTTTGTTAAAAACATACACACATAATGACTACTAAATCTAATAAATATGCACATTAACAATAAAAAAATAAATGATCTGTTAATCCAACCAAAAAAGCACAGGGGTTTTGATATGTTTGTTCATTATGAATGTACAGACAATATTGGAATTAAAAATACAAAATGACAAAATATAAAACGAAATCATAACTATATAAAAATTCTTGCTAGAGGTATTCATATTTTGTTCTCAGACATCAGATAGTCTTTTTCATTTTTTCTTTCAAACCTTTTAAAAATGTGAATGGAGATGAAGTTCTAAACATCATTTGATCTTCAACTGTAATGGTGTTTTTATTTTACTGGCTATTACCTAGATGAATCTTAATGTTAAGTGATATGATAACTTCATGTCTGATGGAAAACTACTTCAAAAACACTGTGGACAAAGTCTTAGTTTCTTAGCTTTCATGGAGACTGTCACAGCACAATTAAATCACATTTCTTTCATCAACAACAAAATCAAGGATAGCCTATCATAACCTTAAATTTTGTGTCAAATTAATTAAATTCAATAAATTCTAACATTAATGATGTATTAAACTAGTCTTCCAAGGAGTGCATGTGTCACTAACAACATTAAAATATGGTTAACTACTTCTTTACTAACAAAAAATGCATTGATATTAAGATTGCAGTAGAATTCTGTAAGTGATTTTTCATATATTCTTGCAATATGACCCCAACCTTATAAAAATTTTAAAATATTTCAATAATCCCTAAGATTCATGAGAGATTTTTTATTAGATCCTGATTTTTTCCCCATAGAATCAAAAGTGATTGCTAAGAGTACACTACTTCAGGTGACTTTCATTCAAGTTCAGATTTAATTTCAGTTTCTGAGTGATTTTCCATGTGTTGCTTCAGATCAGATTCAGAAGTGTAAACTTCATTACATATAATACATTCAAATGATTTTTCATTTCTGTGGGTTTTCATATGCTTTCTTAGATCATTCTGCTGAGCATAAGCACAGCCACAAATATTACACTCAAAGGCCTTAGATATGTCCTGGTGATTTTTCATGTGAAGGAAAAGATCAGCTTGGTGGGAATAAGCATTGCCACAAATATTACACCCATAGGGCTTCACATCTCCTAGGGTCTTAGGATCATGGCATTTTAAGTGAAGAGTAAACTGCTCTTTCTGGGCAAATATCATGTCACAAATCTGGCATTTATAGGCACGCTTTTCTCCATAATGGGAAAGCATGTGATTGACAAGTTCACAGTTCTGGAGGAATTCTTTGTCACACTTATCACACTTAAATGGACGCTCACCAGTGTGTCGCTTCATGTGCAAACGCAGGTGACACCGTTGGTTGAACATGTTGCCACAGACTTCACACTTGAATGGTTTGTGACCTGTGTGAGTCCTGATATGAAGATTAAGGTGGCCGCTTTGGTTGAATGCCTTGTCACACATGGTGCATTTGTAAGGACGATCTCCCGAGTGTGTTCGCTTGTGAATCTTGAGTGTGCTCGCCTGTCCAAAGCCTTTGCCGCACTCATCACATCTATACGGCTTTTCACCTGAAAAAGAGAAGTCAAAGTAAGTTACACCAAAATCACAACATTCTGAAGTGATATTAAACATAAAAATTTTCATTGAACAATCTGTTGAAATTCTCCTGGGTATTATTGTGCCGCATTATTATTAGACAACCTGTTTTTAGATTCTGTGAGTTCTCATGTTAGAATCTGTTATTATAAATCAACTTTAACTGTGCAAGTTCTCAAGTGAGAATCGGCCTTACCAGTATGAGTTCTCATGTGAGTTGTCAATATACAGCTCTGTGCAAAAGCTCGTCCACAGACTCCACATTTGTAAGGTTTCTCGCCTGTGTGAGTTCTCATGTGAACTTTAACGTGGCTCTTGAAGCGAATCTTTAGGCCACACTCTTTGCATTCAGTTCCTTTGTCTTCTGAATTATGCTGATTCACATGTTTTCTGTAAAGGTGAAGATAATTGAATTTCTCTCCACACTGTGAGCATGAAAATGGTTCTTGCCCATCGTGGGTTCGCATGTGAGCATTTAGGTCAAACTGTCGTTTATATCTCTTATCACATCGATTGCACTCAAATTTACAGTGTTTTTTGATTAAAGATTTGATCTTGTTGGCCTCGTTATTTGAACTGTTTTGGACATCGCTTTCACTGTCTTCATCCTTGGTGTTGCCTATCCCTGTCAGAGCTTCCGCAATGTTGGCATCAAGGCTGCCTTGATTGTCGTAGTATTCTGGATTTATTGTGATGTAGGCATCATCTCCTTTATCTATGTGAACATCTAGTTTACCAGTATTTTCAGCACCTAAACCATTGAAAGGTACTTTGTTCATAGGATTAGACTTAGTCATCACAAAACCATTTACCCCACTGACAGGCTTTACAATAAATGGTTTGGAATTATCAGCCAAGCCTCTGTCATACCTATCGAAACACAGCGAGGATTTCTTGATGAATTCATCTTTGGCGCTGTCTGGAACGAAAACCAAATGCATGCCTGGGGGCAAAGTCCCATCTGTTGGAACAATATAGCCATTGTTTGAAATGGGAAAGGCATCCTGTGAGATAACTTTAAAAGTTTCGACATTATTATTTTCTGTTGGCATTACATCATCACTGAGGTCTATGGAACCGTTAGTATATCCATCTGAGGAGTTCTCTATGGTCTGATCTGAAGAGTTTTGGAAGCGGTCTTGCGTCTCCTGATCATCATCATCTAAGATGTATCTCATAGGACTCAAAAGTACACCCTAGTTTTGATTTACAGTAATTCATTGTCACAGGTATAGCTCATATGGCTTTAATTGTGTCTTTAATTTGTTTTAAAAAAAATGTCAAACACACAGAATGAGTTGACATATTTTATATCTAAATTGAAAGGAACTTTGAGTACATGTCCATATCTGCTATCCCATCAATCAAGAACAATGCTACATCTTTAAAACTGATTTAAAATAAACATGTGTTTTCTCTTGCATAATTTCCCATCTATACATAAGGATCTCATCTGTCACAATTTAATACATTCTCAAGTGTTACTTTTGCATAAGTATTAAAATCATTAAATTCCCATGTCCTGCATGAACATGAAAAAATACTTAAGGTAGGATTCTTCTCTGGTTTCTGACTAGATGAAACATTCAAAGTATATTTCCTTATATGTCTTATATATTGAGGTGTAAGGAAATTAAAAGACCATATTTTTCTTTCCTCATCACAATTGTACAACTTTAAATAGAAATGTTAAACTGTGTTTGAAAACTAGCAGGGACTATATTTTTGGCGGAATGGTGGCGTATGAAAATATCTTCTTTTCTGACTTTCAAAATTATAATAGAACAATGAATTTAGTTATAATTTTTACACAATCGAAGACTTGGAGAAAATTTCAAATGTAAGTTTAATTAATAATGAGGGACTAAACTTTCAAAATATATCAAATAAATATGATTTTTCAAACAAACTAGAACTTTATTACCTTTAACGCTTCCTATCAAAGTGCAGATTTGAGCCAAAAATCCATAAAAATTATTTTTTCTGTCTTAGTAAACGATCAAATTTTTTTGTTTTTTGTTGTATCATTTTGTATATCTATAAGACTACTTTATTATATGTGAAAATAAGAAAAAGTTAAATATAGGAAGCATATGAAAATAACTAATATATCCTAAAAATTAAGAAAAACAGAGACAATTTGGATTAGCCAAATATCCAGTAAAGTTAAATTATTTATGTAAATTTGGTAATATCATTCTATAGACCCGATATAATAATATGTTTTTCTGCAGAAAGAACTGTCATTTAACTTTTGAAATAGAAGTAGGTATCACATGATTGGCAACAGTTATTTTTTATTATTAATGTCAAGGAAAAAGATAATGACCTTGACCTGACCTTGCCTCTAATATAACACGGTCAAATTTAATTTCACTGATACTATCACTTACTGATATTGTCTTCTTGATTCTGTGAAAATTTCATTAATTATTAAATATTAGAAATACGAGAAGAATCCTACCTTAAGATTATTAAGTTTTTTTTATTTGTGTCTCATAAATAGATAAAACTTCAACTGAAGGATATGCATAATAATTCTCATAAAAAATAAGATGTGCACTTTTTCTGAATCTCAAAATTGGAAGCTGAATTGATATATTAATGTGTACTTTGGAACCCGATGCTACGACTCAATACGCAAGTTTCGAGATTATCTCCCTTGGTGCGCTCTTTCGTTAAGGAGGGGAGTTTCGTTGCCGCGTAAACAAACAGGTGGGACAACTATATTTGATGTTTATATATTGGATACATTGTATCATCGATATACTGGTTTATCATAACTACATGATTGTCAGGATGCACTCTACATTTCGAGAATAACCGAATTAATTTAAAGAAGTCATTTTTTAAAGTTAAAAAATCGTAACAAAAAAGAAAATGTCGGTGGATGTGAGACTTTTCAGACGAGGGAAGAAATTAGGACCTCTAATAAAACCGGTACACATGCATCTGATCATTGTACGTAGGCGATCTAAATGACACATTGATTCTTTTCTTTATTATAATTTCAAAAAACCCACAAACTTTAAAAAAAAAGAAAAAAAAGAAGGTTGTACGATCAAGAAAATCGGTTACTTTTTATTAAGACTATGACGTTTCTTTCGTTTTCAAGTACCTATAATTTAAAGTAGATTTGTAAATATGCATAGTTGAACTTGATAAAATCATCAAATGCATCACTGCTTAATATCATTATCTTTTTATAACATTTAATAAATTTTAAAAGCCATAAATATCGTTCATTTACTTATGCACGTTTGTGTACAGAAACAACCTGTCCCACCTCCCTGCCGAAATGGATACTTTTTGCGCCTCTATCGTAGGAGAGTTACAATCTCGAAACTGGCGTATTAGGGAAAGCCTTACTTCAGAAAGGCCCTCCTCGCCATGGCAACGCTATGACTGTCCACCAGACACCTGCCATCCCGCGTGAAGCTCTCACTGGACAGAGTACGACACCCCGTCCCCATAGCAACCACGTCCCCCACAGAGTCACCTGGTACAAAACAGTCAAAGTCCAATAACTCCAAAATACAATGAAGTAAATAATAAGTAGATAAAAGAAAAAAACCCAGAACTGACAGAATATGAATCATTTCATCAGATTAATTACAACAGAGTACCTCTTTTGACAAGAAACGCAGCCAGATGAAGATCCTTTTGTAGAACTACTGGGACAATGTTGAGTATTTTATGGGCATGTCTAAAACAGGCTTCTGCCATTTTGTCTTCCAGTGTCAAATTTATTGTCTGATTCTTGATAATCTATATAAAAAAGAGCAACCTGATATGAAGCTGTGTTTCAAAAACTGATGAAACTATATCCTGTTTCAAATATTTAAATATTTCAGGACATGTACATAATGTACCATGTCAAGATGAATTAATATTCTTAAAATTAGTTTTATAGGGCTGGGTATTGGCCTGAGATTTCGTATTGTGATATTTTTAAATGTATTGCGATATGTATTGCAATATTTTCAATGTAATATAAATGGCATTTTCTTACTATATTTACTTTAATTTACATGCAGAATGTACATAACTATGATAAGTAACCAACACGAAAAAAAAATCTTGTTGATTTCATTTAAGTTATGCTCTGAAATATTCCCACAAAACGACTTCTGACTTACTGTTTGGCTTTATAACAAACTTTTATAAGTCCATTTTTATATTTAATGACAAAATTCCTTAATCTAAGCATATTGCCAATATATCGATATTACAAAATTGTATTGCGATACGATATTTTTTTGTCATTGTATTGCAATATATTGAAATATCAATATTATTGCTCAGCCCCAATGTTTTATGCTTTAGGGTATCTTCAACTATGAAATATTTGATCTTTTTCCATGAAGGAAATTTGTGCAAGTCCACAAGGATAATGATTTATTAGACAAAAAAAATTCTGGGATGCAGTGTACATTATTACCTCATCATTGGCCATCAGTCGGTACAAAGCTTGTTCAGCTGCGTTTTTCTTGGCCTCTTTCTTTGTACTGGCAAAAGTTTCCACAATGAACTCATCCCGCACAAAAACTGCAGCAACAAACCTAAGAGAAAAATACAGAAGGTCCGTTAACCATAAAGCTCACCTGACTCAGTTTCTCGTCCCAATTAACTAGGGTGTCTGTTACCACAAACTTGAGTACATCTTCCCAAAATATATATATTGAGGGGCATTAGTTGACATTAAAACATGACAATATTTTCAAACTGACAACAAATAACTTACCCTTGAGGTCCTTTCTGATCACCGACATCAATCTTGAATGGAAGCATTTTATGGGCACAATATTCCTGGAGTTTGTTTATAGGGTTCTTCGATTCATCCTGAATAAAAAAAAATCCTATAAACAACACACATGTTGAATCAATTTTGTACACTTTGAGAGTCTTTAATATATTCCAGTACATGCTCATTGAAAGACTTGATACTATTTGTATACATATTACAAACAGGTTTTAGTGGTTTCTCGTGTGAACCCAGTCTTCCTGGCTCTGTTTGTAGCTTCCTCCCCATTGCATCAAACTGAACTGACCCATCTACAACAGGAATAAATCAAAATAATTAATATACTGAAGTGAAATAAGACACCAAGCTGACAACATTATTACCTTTACCAAATGAGATTTCATAAAAACGGTTTAAACTGTATTCATCTTACTAATAAGGAGTTTAATAGCATTCCTTGACCATGACTAAAAATTATATTTGTATAAAATACACCCACCATCCTCCTCTAATTCTTCCTCTTTATCAAACCCCAGAATGATGTTGAATGCGATCTTGGCGGAGTTTGTCTTGGCCTCTTTTTTGGTGGAGCCGATACCCTGGGGATATTCCTTACCATCTACTTTACACACGTAGGCAAATGTCTGTTTGTAGGTAGCCACCATAACCGCGTCCTCACGATAAGACACGACTCGACGCTGTAAGGAACAAAACTCATTCAGGGCACTAATTGGCTGCTTGGATCCATTCCTGAAGTTGTCTATTAGCTCCTTTGGAACCTGGAATATAAAAAAAAAAAATTCTAGTCATTATGTGAATTTGGTTTGAATGATTCAGTTACAGGCAAGTAATAAATAAATTCATGCTTATCTTCACAAAAAATTTTGGACTTTCTCATATATCATTATTCTTGCTGTCAGCCGATTTCGTTCGAATGTGGCCATATAGCTCGGATGGTAGAACACCTAACTGAAGATTCAGGGGGCTCGGGTTCAAATCCCGGTCTGGTCTGCTGCATTTTTCTCCTCTTGCATTACATAACAATAAAATGTAATACTTGCAAATGATAAACATGATAAAGGCGATAATTCATGATGACAATATATGGTACCTCTTTCGGGATTTTGGAGGCTGGTATCTTTTCTTCTGGTGGAGTAACAGGTCTTTTACTGAGTCCAGGAATATAACTCTGTGTTGCAGCAAACATCTTTGAAACTTAATAAATGAATCATTATTAATATTTTAACATTCTTTTAACATGTTTAATAAAGAAAATGAAAATAAACACAATTTTCACAGGAGAATGTTAATTATTATGTAATCTCAAGTTAATATCTATGTTTATTTTACACATTAAGTAAACGCCAAAAAGTCAAACTTGAATAGATTTGAGTAATCAATGTACAAAAACACAACAAAAAGAAAAGGAAAGTAAAAAATGAAAGTACTATAGTTTTAGACACCTTTCACTGCCTAATTATCTAACGGGTCAACTTTCTGAACAGATGCATATTCTTGAGAGTCGACTTTTGAAATATTTCACAGAATTTTTTGAATTTCTAAATGAAGATCTAATTGATAAAACAGCGCCAAAACACTGTGTTCATTACACGTTACATTTAGAATGTGGACATTTAAAAGAACTAGGCTGTCAACCAAAGCGCAGCAATTAAAACCTATGGAAAACACTTGGTCTTAAATAGCTTGCAACAAATAGTGTTCTATAATACAAGTGAGTTACTCAGTGGGAATAATTCCTAAAACATTACCTTCTTCAATTTTCCGAGCGTTCAAGAAGTCAAAATCCGTACTCGGAGCTCCTCGCGTGGTTCAATGTATGGAGAGTAATGGGGGTGTCATCCGAGGATTGCCGACCGTCAAAACGAACCCGATCCAAAATAACTGCACTCAGTCGCTTCTCTCCACCTTTTTAACTTTTTTTGTAGGCTACATTTATGAAACTATCCAATGGCATTCAATTTGGAACCAAAAAGCATATCACTTCACAAACACTCCACTTATATTCATAAAATTAAATTTGAATTTATTTTTAGGAATCAAGATAAATACTGATCGATAAAAAATATTTTTTTTAAAGTCAAACCAGAGACATATAAAACCATGTCTCTGGTCAAACATATATTTTTGATTAAATTCAGATTAACTAAAGTGAAAAAAGATCTTTCTACTTGTTTTGTTACTTTTATAAACACAGGACTTTCCTGTAAATTACACAATTTAAATCAATCGCGTTTCATGGATATCCGAGATTTAAAACAATTCATTTAAATTAGGTATTCATATCTGATTTACACCAATTCTCGAATATTTTGTTACTCCTGAGGTTTCTCCTTCACTGCTGTTAATATTTTAGTGAGGAGAGAAGAAAGAAGTTTGGTAGAACATTTACTGGATCCAGCTTTGTATCTCTGTAGTAATATATTTTTATAAAGTTTAGGAATCTAGTATAGGCATGGTAATTTATATTGTAATGGGTAGCCATGCCTACTATAGTCGAATCAGAGGGGATATTGAAAAGTCAGGGGCGGATACAGGATTTGTGGTTGCGGGGGGGCGTGGATAACTTTGTTGAGGCAAGGGGTCTGGGGGCCGCCTTAAGGCCCCCCAGTGGGGGCCGGGGGGGGGGGGGGCGAAGCTCCAGGATTTTCGTGTATTTTAGAGTAAAACCAGGCACAATAATAGTGCATATTTTTCAATTATTTTTGTTAAAATTGGCATATAGGATGTTTGAATAATAATTGTATTGAATGTTTTTCAATTCTCATTGTAGTGTAACACATACCACTATAAAAAACGATTTACTTACTTATTACTTACTAATAGTGGTATTGGTTAGTGATGTACCCAAGTACGACGTGTTTAATGCTAGTCATATCATACTTTGAATGGTGGGGGTCCAGGGGGCGCAGCCCCCGGAAGCTCCTGGATTTTTGTGTATTTTAAGAGTAAAACCAGGCAGAATAACAGTGGTTTGGTTAGTTTTGTACCAAAATATGGCATACTAAATATTAGTCACATCATACTTTGAAAATTTTAGGGGGGGGCGTGTGCCCTCCACGCCCCCCCTTAAATCCGCCAGTGAAAGTGGACTCTTCCAATAAGCTGATCACCCCTCTGAGTAGATAGAATGGTCCGTAGATATATAAAGCTGCCAAGCATTATTCTGACGAAATCAGTCGTAGGGATCAGAAGAAGAAAACTGAAGAATAAAGCGGAAGGTAATAAAGGCATTATTTGAGAAATAATATAGCAAAGGTTAGAAGCGCATTAGTGGAAAGAGAGCAGTCTAGAGGAATTGTGGTGAGGTACTAGGGCGAAGTAACTCTGCATAAGGCCATTAAGGGTGCAAGAACTTGGTAGTTCACTTAACAATAGGAACTCTGGCTGTTCCAGGAACACAGTGCAGGTTACCTTGTTTATGAAGCACGGCCTACCATTTCAATTAATTGTACATAGTTCCAATCAATAATAACTCAGATAGAGTAAGAGGAAAAACATATATATTAATAAAGAACCATTGTCCCTTGTAGAACCCAGTAGGTTTACACGTTACATTTTGGTGGCAGCCGGTCAAGGGATAGGGTATTTAATTTAGTTTGATTTTCATTAGATTTAATCATATTTTTGTAGAAAATTCTTGTTTTTAGCTCACCTGAGCCGAAGGCTCAAGTGAGCTTTTCTGATCACATTTTGTCCGTCGTCCGTCCGTCTGTCCGTCTGTCTGTCTGTCCGTCTGTAAACTTTTCACATTTTCGACTTCTTCTCAAGAACTACTGGGCCAATTTTGACCAAACTTGGTACAACGCATCCTTGGGTAAAGGGGAATTTAAATTGTTAAAATGAAGGGACATATCCCCTCGCAAGGGGAGATAATCAAGAAAAGACAAAAATAGGGTTGGGTCATTAAAAAATCTTCTTCTCAAGAACCACTGGGCCAGAAAAGCTGAAACTTATGTGGAAGCATCCTGGGGTAGTGTAGATTCTAAATTGTTCAAATCATGACCCCCGGGAGAAGGGCGGGGCCACAATGGGGAATCAAAGTTTTACATAGAAATATATAGGAAAAATCTTTGAAAATCTTCTTCTCAAGAACCACTGGGCCAGAAAAGCTGAAACTTATGTGGAAGCATCCTGGTATAGTGTAGATTCTAAATTGTTCAAATCATGACCCCCGGGGGAAGGGCGGGGCCACAATGGGGTATCAAAGTTTTACATAGAAATATATAGGAAAAATCTTTGAAAATCTTCTTCTCAAGAACCACTGGGCCAGAAAAGCTGAAACTTATGTGGAAGCATCCTGGTATAATGTAGATTCTAAATTGTTCACATCATGACTGTCACGACAGCCGTCGTGCTCTGTTCAGTCAGACAACAACAAGATTTTTTTTTCTATTTACAATTTTTTATCTATTAATAAAATCAAAAAAAAAAAAAAAACAATATTTACAACATATTTTTACAGATATTATTTACAATACACAGAAATTAAAGTCTCTATTAATCCTCAATATCGTTGACTCTAAACCACGTCTATCCAGACACGACCCGTTTCACGACGGACTCCCGCCAACTGGCTCCCAGTGGGTATCCCGGTCTGGTAAGTTCATTGCCAACACACACATGGATAGATTAACATTGGATAACATCAGGAACCTTTGAATTAAATAACATTTTTTAAGTCACAAGCCACGTATACAAAAGGAAAACTCAAGTCACCATTGACTACAATTGCACTTATGGCACACCATACAATCAGTCCCGGTAATTTTAACCGAACACTTTTATAATAAGAAAAACGTTAAGAATACACAACATCTTAACAAAAGTGGTTTTAACTATTAAACCCACAACACCGACTTTATAAGCGGCAAAACAAAATAGCCTACGTGCGTATATAACTCAGTACATTGCACAAAAATAGAACAATAAACGCATGAGTAACTCTACCCAGCAAAACCTGTATACGTAAATAGTAACAAAAACATTAATTAACTCAAGTTCTTAAATAGTTCTACGTTTTAAATGTATTACTCAAAAACTTACATGTGAAATAAAAAACAAACTTACCCCTTTGGAGAAATGGTTACCGTTGAAAGAAAAAATTTAGCCACTCATCTTGGACTGTATGTCAACCATTTAAAAGCTATGAAAACGTGGACCCTGGTTACCTGGTCAGCTATGCAGCGATTTAAATACCCCAAAATACAATAGGTCGTAACTGACCAATACCTGCAAAACTTAACTGAGGTTCAATAAGGTAACAAAAGTATAGAGGTCCAGTAAAGGGTAAATAAAATAAAAACCATAAACATAATGTAAATGCAATTAAAATTAAATATTGATTGTGACAATATCTCCCCAACATAAGAAAGTTCAACGAACTTTTGAAAAAAAACACAATCAATTATAGCATAAAATCGACTATATATAATTATATACATATCTAAATTCTGCTAAGACAATCAGCTCCTACATTTTCAGAACCCTTGATGGAAATAATGCGAAACCTGTATGGTTGCAGAAGTAATGCCCAGCGCATCAGACGTGCATTAGACACCTTGGCTTTGGTAAGATATACTAGTGGTTGATGATCTGTCTCTAGTAGGAATTCCTTACCATACAAATACCTGCGGAACTTTTGAACTGCCCAGATTATCGCATAGCACTCTTTCTCGATTGTAGAGTAATTTACCTGACATTTGGAAAGTTTCTTGCTAGCGTATGCGACAGGTTTCTTCACACCATCTTCGTACTGCATCAAAACTGCCCCAACACCACGATCTGACGCATCTGTCTGTAAAACAAAGCTTTCATTTAAATCAGGTAGTTTGAGAACTGGTGTTACCGTTAAAGCGTTCTTGAGAGTGATGAATGCATATTCTTGTGGCTCTCTCCAAATCACTTTGTTCGGCTGGCCTTTCTTGGTAAGATCTGATAAAGGCGAAGCAATAGCTGAAAAATTCGGAATGAATTTACGATAGAATCCTACCAGACCTAAAAATGATCGCACTTGCTTCTTCGTTGAAGGTTGGGTAAAGTTGTGAATGGCGGAAACTTTGTCAGGAAGAGGTCTAAGTTCTTCATTCGATACAAAACCTGTTCGAACCGTCCTTCTTTTTCACGATGACTATCGGGGAACTGTATGGACTCGTCGAAGGCTCGATCACTTCGGCTTCCACCATCTTTCTTACCTCGTCA